TAAACTTGTGTGTATTTGTCAACGGGAAGTCGCTCAGTTCACCTACTTTTGTTGCAAAAGGATTACCTTATCTCAGCAAGCAGCAGGAGCTTTGTCTTCTGTAACTCAACATGTGCGATTAGTTCTCATTGTGCGACAGTGTAATCTGCACAGATAATGCTTTTTCCCTTAATGCAGACTCTTTTAAAGTTCTCAGAGACACTGACGGCGGCTTTATTTGAATATTCATAATGTCTATTTGAATTTGAAATGCAAGGAGTTTATTATACAGAGAGCGTGATAACCTTTGCAACACTGCTGGGCTTGCAGTGTACCTTCGTATTGTCTCCTGAGTGGTTTGTGTCTTATTACTAAGACACAGCATATGTGGGCTTGGTTGCAGACTTGGTTTAGAAAAACGCTTGGATTTGTCCTCAGCCATTAGAGCATTCTGGCATCAACATGGCCGGGAGATGCACACAATAAAGATAGTGAGAGGCTATTTTTGGCACCTTAAATGCTAAAATGTAATCTAACGGGATGTCATCAAATATGACACATGCAAAAATGCATCCCTTGAACAGAGAGCTCATTAATGGATTCCTCTCAATGTATTCACAATGCCTCCATGTTTTTCTTTTTGCCACACAGCGTGGGCAATCTTTTATGCCTGGATCAGAAACCTGCACGATTCATTTACTTTAAAAACAACCAAGTGTAGGATGGCTACATCAGCATGCTGGGTTCACAACCAGCAATCTGCATCATTTCAGGTGGATCACACTCGTGTACATCCAATTGCCAAAACGCTGAAAGTGAGCAAGACTCTGTGAAATGCAGGCAGAAATTTACAGTCCAGAAAATGACCCAGTGGGTGCATTTATTCTTAGCTCATGCATGCAGTAAAGCAGCATTTCTCTTATATTACACTGCTTAAAAACAAAGTACATTTCGTACGAATACCTGAAGTAGGTAACATTTTTCCCCCAAACACAGTAATTTGTTAAGACAGATCATTGCACGACTTGATTCCCGAAAAGCTTTTAACAGATTTTACACGGAATAAATTATAGGAAATGAGAGAATCAGTGCAGGAAATGCACGTACTTTCGTTGACAAGTGACGGAGCTTATCCCTGTGTTTGGTGAAGAATTCCTGGTAAAGCTGTCAGCAGTTGAAATGTGGCGAGGTTTGTTTTGTCCCGTGCTGTCACTATTAAATGTCGCCGAGCCTTATTTAAATGCAGGGATTGTATCTATGTGGGTGAAGTGCCGTGGTAGTGCTATGTGTTCTCAGATAGGTTTTTTTCTTTTACTGTGTGGGTTACTCTGCTTTGATGCTCACACAAGCTGTTTCTGCTTCATGCAGCTGTAAGCACTGATTACAGCCACCACTGCCGATAGACTTTAACACTTTTTTAGAGCCTTTTTGTTCTGTCTATATCTTGTTTTCGGTCTCTGCATTGGTAATTTCTGATGTTTCCATCCATCACTTTGTTTCAATTTATTCAGATGTCATAGTGAACAAGGACACCTTCAGAGAGTTCAGTCTGTCTGTTGGGCTGTTAAAAATAGGTAATTATTTTCAGTAGTTCTCCTAGTGCACCTGTTGAGAAGGTCGCAGCGACTCTTAACAACATGTAAATAGCTTTAGACAAAGTTAGTTCAGCTTAGCACCTATGCTTCAAAAGGGCAATTATTTAGCCAGGCTTTGGCTTTTCACGTAGATAACAAACAAAACCCAAAACAAGGTGTAACATGTAGAGTACCGATCTTTAGAGGTCCACTTTAGACAATTGGCCACTTCAGGCTTTAACACATGTGAGTGACATCAATATTTTCATCTTGCCTGACTCTCTCCAAAAGGGTAGGCTAAAGTGTACTCCCTCACATAGAAGATAGTTCGCCCTGAGCTGAGTGATCTAAAGAGGTTGAAGCTCCACAAACACTTGTAGTGTAAAGAAGCTTTATTACTTGACCGGTGTTTCAGTATGTGGCCCTCGTCGGTGTAATCAAAAACTACATCGCAGACGGCACTTTAAATACCGTACGTGTTTGAGTGGAGGGGAAAAAAAACATCTATCCACCAGACTGTACGTATGCTCTGAAATTTGTCTGCAATTTATTTTTATTTTTTTATGGCCGAACATGTACTAAATGTGTTTGCTTTCTAGCATTCTGTGTTTCTGTTGGTTGTGCAAACATGGGTCGTAGCAGCACGGTGGTGAAGCGGTTAGCACCGTTGCCTCACATCAAGGTTTCTGGTTCAAACAACCTCTCTGTGTCTCAGTAGGTCTCCGCCCGCAATCCAAAAACACACATGTTAGGTTAACCTGTTAGCAGTCGGACGTACCGCCCACGGTACATTGGATGGTTTAGGGGACTAATTGTAAATTTGTAGGACTGCTAAGGGGTTAAGTTGGTATTTCTGAATTCAAGCCAAGAGTCTGAGGTAGATGAAGTGTGCAAAGGTGACATTTAACCATACAGAGACCTTTCAGTGGTCAGCAAATAATTACACCACAGTGTTTTGCTTGATGAACAGCACACGCTGCTGGAAATAAGGAGTTGTGCAGTGTTGTCATGTGGTATGTGAAGGGCCTTTAAGTGAACTTCCCAGGAGCCCATAGACTGTATATAAAAGATGGACACATCTACTGTGGCTAGCAAATTCTCACTGTGAATCTTCAAGATCAGCATTGTAACTGCAGCCGTCTTAGGTTTTTGAAACAAAATGTCAAAGAAAACCCGGGAAATGCCCTTGCGACCATATTTGCAAATTTAGTATCATGTTGTATTCAATGTTTGACTCTCAGGAAAATGTTTATTGAAGTCACAGGTTAAGGTACCCAAGAGCTGTTTTCCTGCTAACTTCTATACAACCACACTTTTCTTTCAAGCAGAGGAGTCTGCCCCTGCTGGCACAGCCGGGCTGAGGAACGCGAAAGGTGACCTTCGGCATTCTTATACGACGCCTCGGGTTATGGATGAAATCATGTAGAATGGCGCTCCCGCGGTAATACACGCTCCAGCCATGTATTCCAGCCCTAACCATAACCTTATCCCTAACCTTAACCAGCACTTTAATGACATTAAATACTGTTTTCCAAAGCGGTTTCTATATAAAATCGTCATTATTTTAAAGGACAAGCAACACAATAAGAGTTGAGAGGCAGATGATCATTTCACAAGCTGTAGATTCTACATGTGTAGATTCGATCCAAACGGTTCTCATGTTTCATCATTTTTCCGATCTCGTAATATAGGGACGTGTTGTTGAAGAGTAATATATCAGCGATTTGTCCCCTAGCATAAAATGTTACGCTTTGGGAGTGAGAACGTGGTATATATAAACACCTATACCAGACACAAGGTGGGAAAATAGGGCTGTGCAATTAATAGCATGTGGCTTTTCAAGTGATTTTTTTTATTTAATTACTTGACTTTAATTATAATTAAAGTTTGAGGAAGTTTAAGGAGTCTCTGAGCAGCCATGCTAACTTATTGTAATCTCCTTGTTGACCAAAAAATATTTTTTTAATACTTTGAGAAAAAAGAGAAAGATCAAACTTGGGTTTTTTTGGCCCCCTACGAGGTAAAACCTCCTTGTAGTGTTTAGAGGAAAGGCAGAAAACAGCTTTAAAAAGCCATAGAGCTAAGAGGCAGACATGCCTTGTTTAAAGTCTTCTTATTAAATTGTCTGTGTTTGTCATCTTTCTGCAGTAGTGACTTCAGAAACAGGCTCAGCGATGGGCTCGGTGCTGTTTCTTGTGAGTTGACAGCTCGTAACGATGAGTGACAGGTGTCGGTGTGCGAACTTGTTCAGCTTAGTGTCAGGAGGACGGCAATAAGTGCAGACTTTGTTGACTCGAGGCAAACTGTCTGATTTTGTTGTCTCTCTAGTTTCATCACACATGTACATAACTATTTTATGGACTCGTTTAATAGTCCTGATGAGAAAATGACACTTAACGACAGGGGGTTTACTGTGTGCGAAGGAAACCAGGCAGGTATTTGCGCACCTCTGAACTTGCCGACTGTGCAAGCATGCCTTCCGGGTCCCAGTTGTTTCTCTGTTTTAATACAGACAGTGGTAACCAGAGTAAAAGTATTTACCTTCATTCAAACAGGATTCAAATGAGTATCACGCACAGAGCAAATTAATTCAGTTCATCTCTGTACCACACTAAGAAAACCTTTAAAAGTCTGATGTGTTCAGAGGGAAAGTGAGAGTATAACTTTTTTTTTTTTCTCAGTGCCGAAATGGCATTTTGGTGTGCAGCTGGGTTTTTTGTGCGCGAATATAATCAGACAATTTCAGGGTCGAATGCACGCAGAATATTGGAGGATCTTCATTGTTTTGCACTTTCCTTGTAAAAAAAAAAAAAACACACAAAACACAAACATTACTTGTCTCTATTTCAGCAGAGAGAATCTGACTGGTCACCGTTTTCCTCTCATATCCTTTACTGAGCTGCTCTCAAGCTGTTTTGGATTTTAGCTGTCAGATTTATGCTTCCACACATACGCTTGTGCGTTTACCTCTGCCTGAACTCCGAGAGGTCTGAAATGTAAATTTGAATGCCAGAAAAACTGAGCAACACCTCATTTTCAGTCGGGCCGTGGCAGCCTCTTCTTCCCTGCAGCCCTTTGGCTCTAACCCCTCATCGCAGCCCATTGAGACACTTCGCCTGGCACCCCCCTCCCATCCCCCTCTTGAACATTTTGTCTCCATGGCAATGTTTTGAATGAGATTTAGGGCAGGAAAGGTTGTTGTTGTTGTTGTTGTTTTTTTCCCAAGGGAGCTGAAAAATTAGCAGAACTCTATAGAAACTGCTGTCCTCGTGTGTTTAGGCGAGCACTAAGTGGTGCTGATAAATGTCTGTAAAATGTATGCAAAGCATTCAGAATAATAAGCATTTTCATTTTCTGTCCTAATAATTCGTTCTGTGTTGCAGGTGACCAGATTAGCCATTCTTAGAAAGCAATTGAAAATGTGCCTTTGGTGTTTCTCTTTTGCAGTCACCTCTTTGGAGCCTATTATTGGCCAGTATGGGGAAATGCTCAAGATCCCATGCAACAGTGGAGCCATAAAGGCAGAAGACATCGCCATCACTAAATGGAAATATGTAAGTCACACTGGAGATCAGTTGTTCTCAAAATGGCAAAGTAGGTCTAAGGCCCACTTACTGTGTCTGAAGTCGAACCACGCCCAGTCTGAGTGCATTAGACCATGCATCTGTCCCTCCATATGACACCGCATGAACAGTGCATGCTTTTATTGTGAACACGAAGCCAGTGCCATATGCGAGCGACACATAACAAGCGCGCTCTGCTCTCCAGGACAAAGGGGATGGAGTTCCAGGATACCTGCTGGTGAAGCAGAAAAACCAGAATGTCTCAATCAGCGCCACTGATGAATACAAGGTCCGTGTGAGCATGGACAAAAACTCCAGCCTGCTGATCTCTGCCGCCAAGCTCAGCGACCAGCGGACTTTCACTTGCATGGTGGTGACCGGCGGAGACGTGTTCGAATACCCAGTTAATGTCCTAATTCACAGTGAGTCTGAATTAGCTGAAAAATTGTCGAAATGCCCTCGTTCAAGTGCTGTGACTGACACAAGCAACACCCAGCCTTTCCATTCACACTGTTTTTTTTCCCTCAACTACAGAGTTGCCGGCAAAGTTGGAGATTTCTGGAGAAGCAGAGGAGCTAGAGATTGGAAGACTTACTAAGGTGGAGTTTTTAATGATAAACATTTTAATGCCGACATTATTTTAAGCAATGAGTCATGAAGGGAAATCCCTCACTTGAGCTAACATATCTTGAGGCCTAACAGAGATGGTGCCTGTTATTGTAGTAATGACTTCTTTGAAGTGATTCTCATGAATTAGTAAAGAGTAGAAATCTCGCTTGTGCTACAATTAAAAGACCCAAAGGATTTGAGGGGCTTTACAAATGCTTTAGGCATTTCATGGTCTATTGCATGGAAAACTGTTTAGTCCTCAAATACCAGGGTGGCATTAACAAAAAGCTTATTTTCTCATATGTTTGGTCATTTAAAAATAGTCATGAAATGCATTTTTTTATTCATCCTTTGAGTGCTTTTCTTGCCTGTTTCTCACTTTTTTTTCCCTTTTTTTGCTTTGCAGCTTGGAAATTGTGTTGCAAAAGATGCCAACCCACCTGCAAACATCACATGGTTCAAGAACAATAAACCTCTGGAGGCTGATGGGAAAGGTGAGCGTTCACCATCCCTTTTGTTGTCTTTGAGTTCTAAAAAAATATATTTGACATTTATAAATATTGCATACACAGATGGTTTTATTCTCTCTGACAGGGACAGTTGCTGTAAATTATTCTGCTGTGATGAATTGTGCTGCACTCTCATGACGGCGCGGCTCATGACTGTGTGCAGTGTTTTGGTCATTGCACATTTTTTTCCTTGTTAGAGTTTTCAGACAGTGCTTGTTTGTTTTCTGTCTAGGGATTTCCATCAAAGTTTCTGTTGTGGTAGAATCTAGTACCGGCCTCTCGACCACTACCTCCACACTCGAGTATTCTGCAATGAAGGAAGACACAGGCGCCAAGTTCAAATGCCGTGCTGACGGTCTACCGCTGGAATCCTCTTCCATGAACTTTACTATTACCTGTGAGTCGTTGAGCGTACTTTGTCTAAAACCTTTTATTTTGATTTAGTTTTTTTGTCTGTAAATTCAAAGAAAGGGTTTAAACTGCAAGATGATCATCATGAAATCTCTGAAAGTTTACGCTCTGTCTAAACTACATGCCATATCCTGAAAACGACACCCACTCAAACACCCACAATATTCTACTTCAGCTTGAAAGTCTCAGTAATCCACTGCCTGTAGCAGGACAAAACTATACAATGTGCCTGTATCAGAGGATTGTTTTAGCACCTCATTTGTAACTAACTGTTGCAAAGATATTTGTAGCAAGCTGTTGTAGCCAAGGCACAACATAATAATGCTGCTTAAAACTCTGTGAATTATCCACAATATACTATAACACAAACTATATAGAGTCTAAACGCTGGAGCTTAACTTACAACAAGGACCTTCACTCTATGCAAAGAAAGGAGAGCCATGAAAATTCTCCCCTCTGCTGTGGTTGGGAATTAATGACCAGCTATGACCAGACAGGTAAGCAGCGAAAAAAGATTTGGGATGCAGTACTGTGCAGACTCGTGCTGCCCCCCATTATTCTGTATTTTGATTACAAGCAGTGGGTTGCTTGTTCACTCGTTTTCAGTCAAAAAATGCCAAAGATAACACAATATGACATATAGCATTATTGTGCCAACAGAGCAATACCCAGAGAGCTACTAGCTGGAAACCTGGTATACAATGGCTTGGTGTGCAGTGTGTCCTAAAAAAATTTGAGGAAAGTGGACAAGTGGCAGCCAAAATGAGAGGTAACAGGCATAAAAAAACCATCTATAGCAGATGAACAGTGTATGAAAGTCATGCCTTTAAGAAACAGGCAAGTATGTGAGACCAAACAGATGTCTGGCTCTTCGGTCAAGTCATTCTTAAGGATGGGAAACAGAGAGAAAAGGCTGAGGTGTGCCAAATTAAAGAAGAAGACCGAAATCAGCGGCAAAAGATCTAATGAAGCGATTTAAAATGTTTGGTTCAAATCATTGTCAGTGTGTACAGAGAAGGTCAGGAGCCATCTGTAAAACACAGTGGATCTCAAACACACCGCCAATGCAGTAAAACCATACCTGGATAGAAAAACACACACTATCCATCATGGATTGGCCTCCCCAGATTCTCCGGACTTCAACATCATTGAAGCAGTGTTGGATCATCTTGACAGAGAACGGAACAAAAGGCAGCCAACATCCAAAGACGACCTTTGAATGTCATTCATGAGCTATTCCTGAAGACTATTTAAAGAAATTAGAAGAAAGCTTACCTTGAGATTTCAGGCTATGTTGAAGAATAAAGGTGGCCGTAGCAATTGGTGACTTTTAAGCTCATTAGTATTGTACAAACTCTGTTTTTGGCCTAAGTACTGCTTTTCTATTCAGTTTTGCAAGTTTTAATAAATCGCTGCCCTTATTTGCCATTTTTCTAGCAGAACACAAAGAAAGGTGGACCTTTATGCAGTACTGTGATTTGGTGCAAACTTGAAGGAAGAAGGTGCTGTGTGAATGTATATAAAGTTTTAAAGAGGACATAGAACTGGGCGATTTTTCTCTCTCTGGCTACACGGTTTTATTTCAGGTTGTTTCGTTTAATATTCTCCTCACTGACGTCTGTGTTTCCTCCACCGCGATGAGAATTACAAACATGTTTTATTCACATTTTTTAAGTATTGACACAAATGAATCAGTGATGCTGTTTTCTTTTCTAGAACATCAATAATTAAAGTATGTTTCCGTCGATGAAACTTTGCTGTTGATGAAATGTTGCTTTTTGGTGAGAAAACAGCTTATTTAATATGGCATGACAAGAATTTCAAAATGGAGTGAAAGAGAATAAAAGTGTCCCTTTTTAATTGAAGTCAAGCTTCTTGCACATCACACGTGTAACACAGCAGCAGCTCGTGATCCACGAGAAGACCAAGAGACGTTTTACAACTGTAATCAGACGGTGCCTGTGGTTTTTGCGAGTGCATTAACATTTTTTTTCTATAATTCTCTCACTTCCAGTCGAGACAGACACGGGTAACGGCACCTTTTGATGGTGAAAGTTGAAAAATGAGGTGTGGATTCTGAGATTTATACCGAGTGCAGCATTAAATATTGAAGTTGCCTGCTCAACACGGCCCAGAGTAGAACTTATCAGTGCTGGAACATTTTCTTTCAAGAAATTCTTGAAAGAGTTTGCCTTAGATGGAGCAGAAACATTGAGCTTTGAAAGGATTGTTTGGTTGAGTGCCTCAGATTATGACTGCAATTCAACCACCTCCTCTGCTGCATTTTGAAGTTGGTCATAACCAATAGTGAGGCACAAAGTTAGAGTTCTCTGTAGCGTGCTGACACAGTGGATGAGTGCAGTCCCCATTGCATTCAGCTGGTTGGGGAGCACGCTCCACTTGTTACACCCTCCACCCTCGCCCCTCTGACTTTCTTGCTCCTGTTTTCTGCACAGACTCCACGGAGAACATCATGCTTGAGGTCAGTCCTCAGAAAGAGCTTAAAGAGGGAGACAACTTGACTTTGAAGTGTGTGGCAGATGGTAACCCAGCTCCTACCAGCTTTAACTTTCACCTTAAGGTATCTCATTAAAAGCTTTGAAATTCCTTCTGTTCATCCAAACTAGTGCTTACTTCATCTAAAATGTATTTATTCAGTCTTTTATCCTCAGCAACGTAAATGAAATGCTGCTGTTTTCACTGTTTTTGCAGGGGGAGCTGGTGACCGTGGAAAACACGGATACCTACACCATCGCGAATGTCTCACGCGACGCCACCGGTGAATACAAATGCTCCCTAACTGATGACACGTCCATGGAAGCGACCAGGAACATCACCGTCACCTGTAAGAAGACAAAAATTATCATTTCTCTAGAAGTAGAAATTACTGCAATTTTACCCCACACATCTGCATCTGTATCCAAATAATTTTCTTTTCTCCCTGCAGTCTTATTTGTTAGGAAAGTCCTAATATCTCTCTTTGCAAGACTGTCTTCTTCTGATTTGGGGAGAAATTGTTGTGTCAGCCGCACTGCTTCTAATAAGCTGCATCTGCAGGGCTGTGAGCCAAGTGCAGAGTTATATGGTTAACAACAGAAATGTTTTGACCCTTAACAGGCCTCTGAACCATCTTTCTGCCATCCTCTCCTCTTTTCAGACTTAGACATCAATTTAAGCCCCTCTGGGAATATTGTCAAGCGCGCTGGCGAAGCCTTGAATCTGAGTCTTCAGATTGATTCTTCCGGAAAGGCAGAGGTCTCCTGGACAAAGGTAGAAGCGATCTTTTATATAACAAAGCTCCAATCATTGGGGTTTGTGCTTGTTATTGACAGCGCCGATATTCTCTTGGATTTATTTCAGAATAATGCTAAACTGGGCAAACAGCCCAACTTTACCAAGCTCGGTTACTCGGACTCTGGTCGCTATGAGTGGACGGTGACAGTTGGACACATCACCCGGACAGCTTCTTTTGATCTTACTGTCGAAGGTAAGGGTTTGAAGAAAAGTCTTACGCAGGGAGAGAAAACTGGTACCACTCTGTCTCATATTTGAAGTTAGTTAAGGTATGCAGCCAACAGGCAGTTTGTGAAGTTTAAGAATGGATGGAACAGCCTGACTTTGTCTAAGGGTAAAAACTATCAGCTTAAAGCTAACGCATTAATTAAATATGCGTTGTTGTTTTTTAATTCATATAAAAATCAGTGGTTAAAAAAGTTATTTTAACAGTTTAATCAGACTCCAGATGGTTACTCGCAGCTACATCTTGTTTTTACACTTTATTTTCTGTACAAATTTTGAAAAATAAACAAGACAGAGCATGCTAATTGCTGATTTTTGGAGGCACTAGTGGGATTATTTTCCTTTGGACTGGCTCGCTGATTTTCTTTACTTCTAGTTTTCAGCCAAATGGCTAATGACTCTAGACTCATAGGGACATGAGAGTGGTATTCATCTGCTCATCTAACTCTTGGCAGGACAGCGAATATAAAATGATTTCTCTAAGAAATTCCTTTCCTCAGTCATATTTAGATGTGCCGGTGGATCGAATTAAACCACGATAAATCGAGCTTTATAACACATGTGTTCCCTTACAGGTCCTGCAGTTGTAAAGAGCCTGTTCAAAAATCGCAGTAATGACGGCCAACATAAAGTCTTGACTTGTGAGGCTGAAGGCTCTCCAAAGCCAGCTGTTTCCTGGAGCATTAATGGCACCGTGGTATGTACCCTTTACGTGCTTGGAAGTTGACCTATTATCAGAATTGCAGGAAATTTATCCTTGGATAATTGTTGCAGTTTCTGAAGGTCATATCTATTAATTCTTCCTAACAGTACATAAAAGATTTGTTTTATGTGTTCGCGCCTCCTGTGCTGGCTAGGGATGGTATTGATAAGATTTTCACGATTACGATTCCATTTTCGATTCTGTTTAACAATTCGATTCTTTATCGATTCTTTATCGATTCTTTTTAAAAAAGGAGAACACTAAGGTCGATTAGCTTAGAACTTTGTTTTATATCTTCTCTTTGAACAAGATAGAAATTTAGGAGTAACATGGCCTCACAAACCCAGCAGTGAGATCTTAAGAGATCCACAGCCAATGGGGTGTCACAGGGTCCCCAGGAAAAAAAATTGTAAATGTAAAATGATAAAATAAATGTTCTTCTGTAGCAATAACAAAGTATAACATAAATTATTCTGTAGCAATTACACAAGAATATCCAGTAATGTCCCTGCCTACAATTAAACACATTCACTTACCGAAAATCATCTGCTGTGGCAAATGGGTGCAAGCGTTTTACCACAAACTGAGTCACTGCTCGGTGACATTCGTCTATCCTGGCCTGAAAGGAGACGCTACCGGTAGACTGCAGCGAGAACTGCCAGCATCTGAGCCAGACTCTGTCTCTCATCATGGTCACCTAAATGCACAGTAATGGCAGGTTTTGTAATAAGGCAGATCGTGCTAACATAATATGCACTGTTAGTTGATTATTTACCTGCTGCATTAACGGGAGAGGACGTGCAAACGTTACCGCTGCTGCTGGGTTGAGATTCACGAGTCCGGAGCGGAATTAAAAACACGACATTCATTTAAGGTCATCGTCTTCCGTGAGCAAATGCTTTTGCATATTCGTAGTGTTTCCTCCCTTAAATGAAATATCTACTTTGCAAGTACTGCAAGTTGCCAAACTTTTGAGCGTTTGAGCCGCTTAGGCGCCCTGCCAGGTAAATGACGCTCCGCAACGTGGTGACGTCATTCGGGGCGACTGGAATCGATAAGAGAATCGTTTGGCAAACACTTCCAACCGGTTTTCGATACCCATCCCTAGTGCTGGCACAAAAGAAAATCCTCAGAAAAAAAACTGTGTCAGACTTAAAGAGCCATGAAAGGAAAAATACTGTATTATTAGAAAACGTGCATTAGCGCCACGCTTACAGTTGTGTGAAGTCTTCAGTTTATTGTCCCATCAGAACAAACTACAAGTGTTTTTTCCCCAAGATAAATGCAGGCAGTTATTGCTTCTGTTATGGCGAAGATTGCTCTGTGGATGGTGATGACATACATCTCAGAGGCTTCACAAGATTCTGTGAATTTGAACACAGCTAAAAGCAGGTCCTTCGGGATCGATGTATACCGTTAACAAAATCAAATCTTGTGAAATGGTGAAAATATCAATGTACCTTCTGGTACTCAAGGTAAACTTGTTTATGGAATCTACACCAGGGTCGTGAGCGAGATGTGTTTGTTTTACACAGTGCGAGCGTAGCTGCTGTCAGCACATTGCAAATTCAGGGCTTCTTTTTAGTAGAAAACCAAACATTTTGCTTGTTGGGTGGCTACAAGTCATTCTTGAGAGTGTTCTTGACTTGGTTATGAAGTTGAGAAAGCTTTTTTTAAACAAGGAAAGACTTTGCATTCATCCACTTTAGTTAGCTTCTGAGCTTCTGAGAAGGAATCTATGATTCCTTCTTGTTTTAAGAATGTAGCCGACTGTTGAGTTTGCCACTTGTAAAGTTTTTGCTATCGCTCTGATAGGTATGTTTTGGGGTTTTTTTCTTTTCATCTCTTTGGACCGCATTTAGAGACTGCCAGGGGAAACTTAGGAAATGCAACACTTGGAATCATCCCCAGATCTTTCGTCTGCTTAATTTGTCATGGAATAACAAGGGAATGGGTCTCATTTGGCTGTGAAACTGCTCATCGTTCAATTGTCCAATTACTTTTGAGTCTAAAAGTGGGTGCCTGTCGGAATCATATCCATGGTGAACTCCACCACAAATAATAAAACTACCATATAAGAAAAGCTCATTTAAATGCCTGTACAGACTATTCCCCCAAAAACATCAACTTGTTTTGTTTGTTTAATTTATCATGAGATTATAATTTTAATACTGAAATCGGTCAAGTGGATGAGTTCTTATATAGCGCTTTTCTATTAAGTGCTTTTCTATTAAACATTCACATGGATGGATGCATCAGAGAGCAACTTGGGGTTAGTATTTTGCCCAAGGATACTTGGCCAGGGCCAGCCAGGGATCGAACCGCCAACCTTCCAATTAGTAGATAACCAGAGTAATAACAGCAGTGAAGATGACTATTGTATCTGTACCTGTATATGAAACTGCTACAGGGTGACGTCTAATTTCAGTCACAGGACAACAGAATTCATCATCATTGTCATCCAGGGTAGTTGGAAACCAGTCATGACAAGGCGATTTCTCAGTGGCACTTACGGAAAAAGTTTCCCCCCATGTGCTTGTTAACGCGCCTGTTTTCAGTCGCAGTTGGGTGTAGCAATTTATTTGTTAAAATAACAAGATGGGTATCGGCTTTAACAAATGACCTCCACACCCCGCCCTCCTCCACCTCGAGACACTCTTGAGACTGCAGTGAGGTTTTCAAGCCATATAAAATCATTCAGAATGCTTTGAGTGTTTCTGTCCCATTTTCCCTTGAAAGCATTACTCCTTTGTTGGTGAATCAATACTGGTTGTCATAGAAATTCATCCTCACAGTGGTCCTCCTATATAAGATGGCAACAGGTTTGTGCTGCAGTAACTATTTCATTGACGTCTTTAGATTACAACGTCTGAATGTCCTCTACAAAGTAGCCAATAGATGGTTTATAAGGAGAATTTAGGTCCACTTTCGGCTTCATTAAGAGCCTGATAGGGAGCAGATGGTTGTGAATATGGAATAAAAACATTAATAGAGTTGCATGAGTTTAAAACATAGTGGCATTTGTCTTACAGCGAACCTCAGTGTATCACCAGCAGAAATGTGAAGGTGTGGCTAAACAGAGGCTGTGTGCTTAAGCCTCCTACTATTGTCTTTGTCCAGAGACAGCTCTTGCTTTTCTTTACTTTTTCCCTTTTTGCTGCACAGTGAATGAATACCCCCTGTTTTGTGCATGGCAGTTTGCACTGTTAGTATTTTCCCCAGCTGTCACACTTGTGAACTTATCTGGTCCAGGCTGTTGTGGTCAGTGTTTCGAAAGAGTACATTTCTTCATTTTCCCCGAGGCTCAAACAGTATTTTCCAGCAGCCTGTCACGAGAACAAAAATTGTCTGTTTTTTAAATGGAGCCTCTTTTTTTCTTCTTCTTTTGTTTCCACAGTCTACCTGTGTGCGCACTGATAGCAGAGTCACTCAGTGAAGCGGTGTGAATTACACATAAACCTGGGGGTGTGCGCAGGATGGTTGCAGTTCTCCTCAGCCCTTTCAGTCATTGTCTAACCACGAGAGGAACCTTAAAATCTTTAATTTACTCCAAAAAAAAAATACACAGAACTCTGTCAGGAAATAAAAATGCATTTTGAAAGTAACACATTTCAGCAATTTAATCCCACCGCCCCCCATTCAGAAAAATGTGAAGACTTGAATACGGGATCAGTAATAAGTATTTACAAGAATGCAACATCCTTTTGTATAGGCGGAGGATGTGCAAAGGGTGTTGGCAGTTTGTCTTTGTGTCTGGGGTTTTCCTCTGAGACTCAGGAGTCTATATCCCAGAGGCACACACGCTGTTTCTTTGTCATGCAAGGGCTGACTCACTTACTGGTCCAACATCGCCCCCTCATGGTGCAAATCTTCTTCAAATCATCCGGATCAGATGTGCAACTATTAACATTTGTTTCTTCTCTCTCTCTCTCTCTCGTTACTCAGCTTGGTGAAAGTCCTTTCGTCAATGGAAAGATTACACACAAGATCAAAGTTGTGCCCTCTGCAAATCTAACTGTCCACTGTACAGTGACCAATAGGCTTGGCAATGATTCCAGAGCTATAAATGTGTCCTCTTGTAAGTACAAAGTCATAATTTGGTCCTTTTACCTCTGTCGGCTTCATTTTTCTTTCATGAAGTCACTAATCTGCCTTCCTAAGTGTTTTCCTACTGTTCTTACTAACTCTTTCCATCTGCATGTTAACTTGGCATCATGTTTACATGCTTTGACAAAACGACAATATTGTAGCAGGTATGTACACCAGGGTAAATCCGCCCAGTTTGGGATTGTCTGTAGCGTGTGTGGAGTCACGTCGTTGCACACCAATTTGGTGGCCATAAGGGCAATTAGTTAAAATCAGTTGTTATTTTAAGATTTATAGTCCACTGATGAGTAAGCAGGAAAAAAACACTGTTAAATACACAATGTATCAAACATACACAAACACTAGTACGTCTTTCAAGAACTTTATGTATTGGTGGTAGTTGTCTATTAAAGTCCAGCCTTTTTACTCTCACCATCACTGTCAAACTGTAATTAGTGCATGCACTTAGCACTTAGTCCACACTCTTGTCTGACGGTATCCAAGTGTGTTTATATCACCATTTGTTCTCTCTTGCCTCCTCATTCCTGTGTGTTTGGGATGGCATTTCCACATCGTTCTTTTCTCTCCCCCCCCCCTCGCTCAGTGGGTGTATGTTGGGATGCTGGATTTAATCTGTTCCCTCTTGGAACCTCTTGCATGCAAAGTCGAGTAGATGTAGAGTAGTCATTTTTCAAGCTTGCTTTTTTGTTTTTTTTTCCCCCCCCTTCATTTCGGTTGGACGTTAATGTTATTTCATATCTGATTTCAGTAATTGAGGAGGTGAGAATGGATAAACAAGGTAAGTTGGCGCGGTCTTCCTTCTTGTAAAGAAACAGTAGAAAGTGGGTTGACAAAAGTCTATGGGGGAATCGAATGTTTCTCACTAAAAGACGGCTCTTTATCAAATATTTATCTTTAGTGTCACCTTGGACTGTAGAGCAGAAAAAACAATGTTTAGACAGTGCGCTTCTTTTAAATAAATATAGTTGTGAAGCAGTAGGAGGAATGGAGCTACCAGCATCCTGACAAGATGCCAACATTGTTCATAGTCCCATTGACGAGATTAAAGTGGGGACTGCTCCCATTAACATTCAAATCAATGAGTCATAATCATGCACAGTGCGGATGTGTCCATTCATCAATGCATTTAATGCACACCAGAGTATTTTTTTTTCTGTCCAGACTGGAGCAGCATACAGAAACATGACACTCACGCCTCTGATATTTCTGTTTTGTCTTTCTCTACAGATCAGTCGGAAGACAGCGACCAAACCAGATTGGTGGTTGGTGTTATAGTGGGTCTCCTCATCGCCACTTTGGTTATAGGACTGGCATACTGGGTTTACTCGAAGAAATCCAAGTAAGAAGCACATTTAAACAAATGCTGCTACATAAAAGTGTTCATAAAATTCACCAGTAACCCAACAAGATAAAATGAACATGAGATTACTATGTTCATGCATCGTGGTTATTCTGATTTGCTAAAACGTCCTTTTCTATTTCCAGTTAAACATATTTTATTTAGATTCAAAAACATTGCATACCTGCACTTTACATGCAGGTATATGTAGTATTCATGTAGCAGAAAGTAATTATGCGCATAACGACTTGTTAGGTACACCTTAATAGTACTGGACGCCCTCCTTTGCCTTCAGAACTGCCTTAATTCTTAACAGGAAACATTCCTCTCAGGTTTTAGTCTATATCGACATGACAGCACCATGTAGGTTCTGCCAAGGTGTGCCAGGAAAAATATCTCCCACATCATTAACCCTCCACCAGCAGCCTGAGCCATTTAACAGGGCAGGATGAATCCATGCTCTGGTGTTATTTATGCCAAATTCAGACCGTAACCATCTGAACGGCGCAGCAGGAATTGAGACTCATCAGAGGAGGAAACATTTTTTCCAATCATCGGGTTGTTGTTTTCCAATTTTGGTGAGAGTTTACAAACTATAGCCTCAGGTTCCTGATCTTAGCTGACAGGAATGGCATCCAGCGTGGTCTCCTGCTGCTGTTGCCCATCTGCTTCTACATTAGGCATTTTGTTAATTGAGAGATGCGCTCCTGCATGCCTTGGTTGTAAGAACTGGTTATTTGAGTTACTGTTGTCTTCTTATCAGCTTGAAGTAGCCTGACCGTTTTCCTCTGACCTCTGGCATCACCAGGACGTTTTTGCTCAAAGAACTGCACATAACTGGAGATTTTTTTTTTTTTTTTTCAAATTTGGGAAAACCTTAGCAGATCAGCAGTTTGTGAAATCAGACCATCTGGCATCAACAACCGAGCCACGCGCAAAGTCACTTTTAAATCACCTTCCCTATTCTGATGCCCGGTTTGGACTTCAGCAGCCATGTATGTCTACATGCCTGAATACATAGACTTGCTGCCATGTGATTGGTTGATTAAATATTTGTATTAACAAGAAACTGAACAGGCATACCTAATGTAGCTTCTGATATGAACTCCTCTTGCCAACAACATGTATAATTCAAAAAGCAGTTCTCTACTGCTGGAATAACACTGTTTGGCATGAGGTTTTTAGTTTATAAACAAATGGATATTTGATTAAATGCTCTGTTTTAAAATATGAGATACGGACCATATGAGGATACTAAAATAAAAGCAATTAACTCAAACTTTTATTTTCATCCAAGACCAGTTAATAGAAGCAGTAATTTATTCAGCTGTTGATGTACTTGAGTAAATTTTCCAATTAGCCATAGCTGAGAGTTACAAGAAAACTGATGTCGCTCTCAGATCTGTGCAGTAAATATAAAGTTGGACTTAACATTAACACTCAAAGAGACGGAAACAAGTGGCTAATGTGGAAATTTAGTTTACAAGCCAGACGAGGTTTGAGACTATTGAGTCACCGGAGCGTTGTCGGCTTTCACGCACCAGGCGCCTCAGCACTCAGCGACCGCACTGAGTAGCTGTGGTTTCTAAATGCTTCCACTTTGCAATAATAACACTTGCAGATGATTTGGAATATCCAGGAGGAAGAGATTTCACAACGTTGGTGCAACTTGTGTTATACTATCACATAAGCACACTAAACTTCAGTGAGATCTTTATAACAAGCTCCTTGAATTCCTTTACAAATATTTATAAAGACATATTGGACAGGTGCTCTGTTTCATATACATGTAGAACATAAACACTTGAATTAAAAGATTAGGAGATGTGGAGTTTGGACACAGCCAGACTCGCCGTTTCACTATTCATCCTATTCTAACCTTGTATACGGGTAGTATTGATCTTCTAATCTTACTTTTGGCAGTTCCTTCAAATGAATTAACAAATTAAAATACATGGTAAAATAAATAAATAAATCATTGCGGTTAATGTAGGCTTTTAAGGACTATTAAGGGCTTGGGTACCTGGGCAGTGCTCCATTTTGCTTGCTTGTTAATCAGTCTTCCATTTGCCAAATTAAAGGAGTTTGCTCTTGATTGATTGTGAACTATAGTGTAAGTACACAGCAGCTGTAGATGGATAGCTTCCCTTTAGCCTAAGTGGGCAGTTTATACCGTGAGTTCTGCACACGTGTAGTAAGCAGTCACACCGTCATATCATCATGCAAGGACCGGTTAATAAACGACTGTTTTAATCGAAACAGGCAAGGAAGCTGGAAGACCGGCGAGAAGGAGTGCGGGTCCTCCGAGGAGGAGAAAAAGCTGGAGGAGAAAGTGGAGGAAAACAGCCAAAAAGCTGAGGTGTAAAGAAACAGCGGCGATGCGAAAGGTAGAGCAAGACATTTCCGCCATGCACATAAAGAGTTTGACGTAAAAAGTTGTGCAAAAAAATTAATAAGACATTTTTAATCTTTCCCTTCCAGTGAGAACGTGGAACTTTTGCACATTTCTCTTCACCTCTGTCTTTAGGGAGGGAGGGGGGGGAAAGAGTGTACACTGGGATGAAGACCGTTTGGATTTGGTTTCAGGGAGAATTTTACTAAAAACAAACAAAAAAGGCATATCCAAACATCTCCCCGAGCCCATCAACCCCTCACTCCTCCCATTCCTAAAAAAAAAAGAAAAAGAAAAAAAAAAAGAATGGATACTGTATGTGATATACATAGCCTGTCTGCACTACTGATACATGTGTAAACCTGTCTACTATTAGGATTCATGTTTGTTAGAATGGAAATTGGAAAGCTGAGAAAATGCAAAATCACTACTAGACCAGTTGCCTTTGATGTAAGGATGTGTAGGCCAGCGTTAGTCTGTGTTCGACTTTTTCGGCCCTCGGGACATAGCAGGGACCAAGGGACATTACTGCCATAGTTTGGTTTTTTTCTGCTTTGTTTTTTGTTATTTCACCTCATCACACTCAAACAACCTCTGCCTTTGACATCAAGGTCATAAATCCATTCACTTCTATCATTATTTCAGTTTGTTCATTCAGGTAAAAAGAAAAAAAAAAGCTGAGAAATTGATAAAATCCTGAAAGGGCTAAGGGTATTAGCATTAGTTTTAGATGTTGTATATCAGCAAGGACATGATGTTTCACAAAGGTGTTTTTTAATTATTATTATTATTATTTGATTGTGTGTAACCAGGGGAGAAAATTAATTTTGCCTCGTCTTTTCGCCAACGTTCTTTACATTCAGCGTAGCCACCTAACGACACAAGCAGGTAGATTATTGGGAGAATGTATAGCACAGTTTAAACCTTCTTTTATTGGCTGTAGTTTGGCTGCACACGTGTTTTTTGTTTTTGCATGAAAGCAACATAAAGTTCACTTTCATGCTTTTCTTTAAAAAAAAATAGTAGTAAGGAAAAGGTTGTTTTTATGTAACTCCTCTATGAGTTTGTGCTCCATCAGTGTTGAGGTACGAGTGTTCATTCTGTAGCTGTGGCATACTTCTGTAATCAAAGACACCCAGTGAGCGGGATGTTTGTCTTAAAGTAGCCTTTACGATATGTTTGCCTTCTTTTAAAAATCTACCTGTAACAGCTTAAGTTTGTGATGTGCACTAGGGTTCATGTTTCATGTCGAGTTTGTGTAGAATACGATGGAATACCTGCAGCTGTACATGTCACGGTTTTGGTCCCTTAAGAGCATTTAATGAATTTGAAAAAGCAACGAGGCCAGGATGTAGTTGTGACGTACGTGATTTTACTTTTACTTTTTGCTATTTATATTGTACAAGACTAAAATATCCTGGTAGGCGCATTCAATAATGGTCACATAACTCATGTCTCGGATTTAAACCACTGATAAATTGCTTGCAGACTCTACAAAAAAATGTCATTAAGTTCTGAGTCATCGGTAGTTTGCTCTGTGTCTGGTTGAATAATATATTCAGCATGTGAGAATCTCAGACCTCCAAGCTGCTGTTTGTTGCCTACCTTGTGTAAAACCATCTGATTGGAAGATTGACCAAAGAAAGTGAACATTGCCATGCAAGTATTGTAAATATCTGATGTTTGTTTTTGTACTTTTGTTTAAAATAAAGTGTACATTTGGAACAGTTATGTCCACTCAATGTTAATTATGTTGTTATCATTTTCCTCGTTTTTTCATCTGGTCATCTTTTGAAATAAAAATCAACACGGTTCGGGTCTTTCTTTTTCATTTCACTCGCACGCATACGCAGAAAACACTGACGGCACAGAGTTAATGTACAGTGACTGGTTGAGTGATAACAAATCTGTCAATACTGCAGAAAATATGCAGAAAACAAGGAAAGTGATGAGTTTTGAGGAACAGTTAATGAGACTCAGTCTTGAAATGTGAAAAATATTCCTGCATTAGACATACAAAATTACAAAACCTGACCTTTTGTTGTTATTACCAGTGGAAACTATTGTAAATATATTCAGTCCTTTCATCTGTCTTTTTAGAGGAAGGCAGGATTTAGTCCTGTTTTTATGAATTATTCAAAAAACAAAAAAAAAACAGTTAAAATATTTGGCCACAAAACTTAGCAGAATTTTGGATTTGATCCAAAACCCATCTGAGATTTTGCCATGGGCAGGATCTACACAGACATTATTACTACAGCATGTCTGCAGTATCAGGTTTCCATCTCCTTCCAGAAATTGACTTTGACATTTTGGAGTAGGTGTTATGTCAGGATGAATATGGATGAACAGGTACAGTGGCATGAAAAAGGTATTGAACCCCATCCCAATTTTTTTGTGTATGTGTGTCTGTGTGTGCATCTCTTACTAAACTGTCAGATCTTAGGAATGACTTGTCTTGCTGCATAATGCAGCTGAACCTGAGCTCCAGCTCAGACCGGTGACCTGATGTTCTCCTTCAGGATTTTCTGTCAGACGCTGGAATTAATGTTTCTCTCAATTGTGGCAAGCCCCCGACCTTGAAGCTGCAAAGCTGTCCCACAGCATTACTCTGCCACCTCCATGCATGACTGAAAGTATAATGGCCGTTTTGTTGTATTCTCTATTTAGTTTGTCAGCTCTAATGATCCCCTGTCTTCCAGTCACTTAAGCATTCTCTCAAAAGGTCTTAGGTATATTAAAGTGTGCTGTAGCAAAATCCAAATGAAGCTTAATCTTCCTCTGGGTTGGCAGTGATTTACTTTGGCACACTCCCATGGAGGCCATGTTTGCCCAGTGTCTTTCAGACAGTAGAATATTGAACTTTATTGATGAGAGAAAGGCCTGAAGTTCCTCTGGTCTTCTGGGAATTCCTGTCACCCAGGTGCTGTTTGGCAAAACCTGAGAGGGCAGCCACTACTAGGAAGGCTCACTGCGAGGCTTCTGCATTTGAAGATGGGTCTCTAATCTGATTAGTCTCAGAGATGCAGAAACTTATTTATTAACCTCTCCTTTTTTGACATTATGATCTACTAGTTAGATCTTTTGGTAAACTTCATGCTACCGGAAAGTCCTAATTTGATTGGTAAATGCTATTTACCAGGTGTCAGTTTGTATAGCTGATACTATATTTTAGAGTTTTGGTAACCAAGAGGATATGTGCTTTTTTGTTTTAACATATTTTATTAGATAAGCTTTGTTGCTTCAGCAGTTATTGCTTGGGTTTCATAAACTGAAGTTTATTTTATTTTTTTTAATCAGACAGTTTAGGATGAGATGCATACAAATAAAGAATACATGGAGAGGGCTGAAATATTTCCTCGCTATTCAGTTTTGAGATCCCTTTTTTCTTCCATGTCAAAGTGAAATATTGCACTTTTCGCTTCACTGCATTTATTTCAAAGCTCCTAACATGTACCTCTGGCCTACACTTCAAATGCACAACCTATGAAGAGCACATGAAACAGGGTGTTGTGGAGTAAACTGCACAAGCCAATGTACAAGACTTCAACAGGGGGAGGACACACAGAGGCAAAGTAAAACCCAAATCTGTAATCCAGACAGGCAGAGGTCATACAAGTGTGATCAGTCAGCAAGAGTAAACTAAACCAGGAGGGCACAGGCAAAAGACTAAGTCCATAAAACAGCCCAAAAGGTCACACACACACACACGGAAGTCAACAATTAAACACAAAGGATGCGAGAAAATTCCAGGAAGACTTGACTGAACAAGAAAATCTGGCAACTTGAACATGAGCAACTGCAAGTGTATACGCACACACTGAGTGTGACTAATACAACACAGATGAGGTTGACCAGAATGGACCATACAATTATTAAAGGGTTAATAATAATACACAAAGAACAATAATTAGAAAAAAAACAGGAAAGGATTTATCATAAACACGACAACATATAGCTTGATGGCATGTCAAATCTCTTACTCAGTGAACTGGACCGAAGCTTAACATAAATATCACTCTGAAGGGGAAGGGGAGGGGGGTAGCAGAAGATCTTTATTCTCTATAATATTCAGATCAGTATATTTATTAATGTGTGCTGTGCTTCTACTGATGTCTGTGTGGGTTTTATTATTGTGCTTTAGTTAAGTTGTATGTTTAGCTTCAATAAACAGAAGGGAATGAATCTGCAATTGGAGTGAGCCATCAAAGCCTGGGAGGACAGGGTCCAAGCCATGCAGGCAAAGACACAACGGGATATACGCCATTAACTGAAGAATGTTTACTTTAACTGATTTAAACATCAATGTGATTTTTTATACACTCTGAGGCAAGTTTATTTCTTAAATAATCACTGTCATTCACTGGTTCGTTCAATAAGACAGCAGCAGAAATCACGTGATTAGTCATTCTTCTCCTTTGCAGCACTATCTCCATCTTAACTTTGCTCGGAATAAAGGCAACATAACAACCAACATTAGCATTTGCTGCCACCATGTGGCCAAAGATTTAACAGCAATGGGTAGTGACGGCGTCAAAGGAAAGAAAAGTTTGACGATTTTTTGTTTTTGTTTCTGTGTTTCTAAAACTAATCAGAAGTTCACCAAACGTACCACATGCAAGCTACACAAATGACTTATATGATGTTCTGAATTAACATTATTTAGTCCTAAAAATGACTTCACTTACATTGTGTTTGATGCTTCACTAACCACTGCAGTATACTAAGAAGCAAACTACAGCAAGTAGGAACACTGTGGAATAGGAAAAAGAGTGGAAATTGTAAAAGACACATTTATAAGTTGATCCACTGATAAATGAGGGACATCTGCACTTTTACAGGGAGAACATTAAAAAAACAACAACAACAAAAAAAAAACTAATGAAAAACTGGTTTTATGTCTGTCTTTAATGGATACAGTGTTGAGAGAGTTCATGCAGATTTGTCATCTGGTGTGTTGTAACTGTATAAATAAAAGGAAGACCTGAAAAAAAAAGGTTTTGTCTTTGTTTTTGAGTCACATTTGCTTGTTGAAGATCGACTACATCGATTTTCTTTCCACTTCATTGTATATTTTCATCCACTTCTGCTTAAAAATATAAATTGAATCAGATTAGTG